TTTTCCTATTCATTAGAAAATTACCAACTGCTTATAACAGCCAATATTATAATTCTATTAAAATTATCAATACTATTTTCAAGAAGTTAGTTACTGAACAAAAAAATTCTTCTGTTCATAGAGAAGATTTATTATCTTTGTTGGTAAAAGCAAATGAAAAATTGTCTGCCAATGAACAATTAACAAATAATGAATTAGTTAATCAGATAAAATTTTATTTAATTATTTAACAGTATAGTTTTATTAAATTTAAATTATTATTTTTAAATTATAAATTATTAAATTTAAAGATTATAACAATACTTGTAGCTAGACATGAAACAATGAGTGTTGCATTATCTTGGGCACTATACTTTCTCACAAAACATCCTGATATTCAGAATCATTTTTGTAAAGAAGTGCTAGATATATTTACTGATCGTAATTATTTTCCAGCTTTTGATAACATTGAATATATGAAATTCTTAGATTGTGTCTTTAAAGAGACTTTAAGAGTTGTTTCACCTAGTATAATTCAATATCTTATTATAATGCAATTTATTTATTTTATAAATTTGTTTAATTTATTTATTTTTATTTTATCATAACTAAAATTGTCTACACTTCTTTATTATAATATAAAAGAAGAAATTATTAATAGATATGTTATTCCAAAGATATTTTTCTAAAAAGTTTATGTTATGTTAATATTATATATAAATTTAAATTTTTTCTTTTAGAAAACTCCAATAACAATTTCAATTTTTTTAATTAATGAAAGATAGTTTGGCCAGTCAAGTGAGTTCAAATGATTGTTGAGAGTGTCTTATTTATCAAAGTTGTGCAATTATCTAAATTTAATATCCACTTTTGCACTAGCATTAGCAAAACTGTCTTAAGGATGGATTGCTTCAGCTAATCATAGTGCTTGTGCACAATCTCGATCACTAGCCAATTGTATTGGGAAGGCATTTAAAATACTCTTAATCCAAAATTATGGTATATGCTTATAAATAATTTAATCTCTACTCAACAGAAATTTTTATTAATACAATATATAAGATATTTTTAGTGCAGATAAAATTAATTAGGTGTAGTTAATACACTTAAATAACTATTTCAATTAATTGCAATAATTAGGTATCATCTTGATAATTAAAAAATAATATTGTGAATCTTTATAGTAGATACACTGTAATTTTTGCCTATAGAATACTTTTGTAGAAACTTTAAATTAGGTGTTCTCAAGCTGTGTGGTTTGCTAATGAAACGTTTTCAATCATTGCAATTAAAGTGGTCATTGAGATTAATTGAAATTGAAAATTAATGCAAGTATTAAAATTTTAACTGATCAGAATAAAGTAACTATGAAAAGATGGTCTGCATCTCTGTATTTTATTATCAAAGGATAACTATTTGAATTGCCTCCAATCCATTAAATAAGGTGCTTGAATGTACCATTAATTACCACAGCTGATTGGTTATTTGCAACCTAAAATTTCCTATTATTGACTATTGTTAATAGAATTTTTGGACAAATATTAACTCAATTTTACTATGCCAATTTGATTTAATTTATTAATTAGAAGTTATAACTAATATTGGATATAAATATATGTTTTAAATAACTTTATAGAATGAAATGTACTTGGACATTCTTGAACATTCAAAAAATCCTTAAACACCAAAAAATATATATCAATAATATACTATGCTTTAATAATTTTAAGAAAATAATGTCGAATTACAAGTTTCAGGTCAATAAATTATTGTTATTTTGAAAATTTCTCATTTTACACAATCTAACTGCACGCTATTTAATAATTTTATTTTCATCCACTAATTATTCTTGATATACTAGTTTCATTAATAATTATAATTTAATAGTTTATCTTCATGACAAATGTCGTAACATCTGACTAAAGTTGAAACTTCAGTTGACTAAAGTTGGCACCTGCCTAAAACAGCTAACTAATGCTAACTTTAGTCAGATCCCAACTTTAGCTACAACAACGATATTCGTATTTTCGTGAAATTATATACATCTTTCTTTATCTATCATGTTTTAATAGAATTATTATACTATATATATATACAAGATATGTAGCCTAAATATAAATAAGATTGATTTGAGCTCTTTTCACTACAATTATTTTTACAAAAAATTTTAAAATTTACATATATAATTTTTATTTATTTTACAAAGTGATGAAAGTAGTAAAAATAATAAATGAAAAAGCAACAACTGCAACTACTGCCTAAAATGAAGGAGATATTATAAGAAACTATTTTAAAGGTATAAATAATTTATGAAATATTTTTGCGAATGATTTTTTCTTTATGTCTGTCTTCGGAAAATTTTGAGTATAGTGAAGATACAAGGCAATTAAAGTTATATTTTTACAAAGATTCTATGCTAATGCTTTACCTGCCTTAAAATCAATTTTACTATTACCAAGATCCAAAAAAGTCAGAGTTATGTTCTTGCAGAGAGCCTTTGCTAATACTTTTTCTCCTTCAGAATCCGGTTTATTAAATTCAAGATTTAAAGAAATTAATATAAAAAACTTCTATTAATATTTTCTCTCCTTCGATGCCTAGTTCTTTCCAGGATTCAAAGAAGTCATATTATTACAGAGAGTCCTTTTCCTCCTTCAGAATCAATTTTATTGCAATAAAGATTTAATGAAGTCAAGGCAGTGTTCACATAATGAGTCTTGATTCCCTCTGAAACAAGATAATTATTTTTAATGTTTAATGAAGTCAGAACAGTATTTTATAAAAAGCATTTACTAATATTTTCTTCTCTCAGAAACAAGATTATTATGGGTCAAATTCAAAAAAGATATTGTAGCGTTTATTTAGAAAATCTCAGATAGTGCTTTTGCTCCTTTAAAACCAAAATTATTATAACCAAGATTTAATGAAGTCATAGTGGTGTTTTAACAAAGTGTATCTGCTAATACCTTACCTTCTTTAGGCCAAAATGATTATGATAAAGATTTAATGAAGCTATGCACTATTATATAAAGGACTTCAGCTAATGCATTTACTCTTTCAAAATCAATATAATTATTGCTAAGATTTAACGAAAGTTAGAGTGTTGTTTCTGCAAAGAACCTTCGATAATACTTTACTTTCTTTAGAACCAATTCGATTATTGTGAATATTCAAAGAAGTCAAAGTTGTGGTTATATGAAGGCCTCAGCTAATGCTTTTACTCCTCCAAGATCAATCAATATTAGTATTGCTAAGATTTAATGAGGTTAAAGTGTTGTTTTGAAAAGAGCCTTTGCTAATACTTTAACTTCTTTGAGGCCAAGTTGATCATATCAAAATGTAGTGTTTACACAAAGTACTTCTACCAATGCTTTGACACCTTAAGGGTCAAGTTTATTATTATAAAGGCTTAAGGAAACTAGGGATATATTTTTGCAAAGAGCTTTCGCTAATACTCTCCTTCAAAATCAAGTGGATCATATTAGCATATAAAAAAGTTAGAGTAGCGCTTAAACAAAGTGCTTACTGAATGCCTTGGTTCCTTCATAACCAAGTTGACACTTATAAAGATTTAACGAGTAATGTTATCATTATTGTAAAAAACGTCTACTAATTCTTTACTATTTTTAAAATCATTATTACCAGCCTTTTTGCAAACATTATTTCATTATAGATAATGTCAACAACAGTTAGATAATCAAGTTTTTTACTTGTTTGTAAAAAAATTGCAATCAAAAAACTTTTAACTGCACTTATAAGATTAATTTCTCAATATTAATTATAATTATCATTTTTATCATATTCATTTTTTCATATTTATTATAAATAAGCCAATTTTTGATTCATTCGTCTAAATCATAGCCATAACTTGTATATCAAATAAATGGTTTCGGATCATTCGGAAACTTTATAACAAAGGGATTAATTGTGCTTGTTCTTTAGCATTTAATAATGAATGATATATCTTTGACATTCTGTTTTCCAAAATTAGCTTTGCATCATAATATGATGCAATAATTCTACACCGTCGACGGTTTACAAGAAGGCAGGAAAATAAGGTTATTTGATTATTACGAAGGTTATTAAATGTCACGGATGATCGTGAAATCAAATGATGGTGAAATTTGGATCAATTTTATGTACGTACGTACGTACGATTTTTAAAACTTTTTGGGGCCATTTTTGTCGGTTTTTTTTAATAGTTAAATTAGGATTTAGGGTTAGAGTTATTAGTAAAAGAGTATAGTGGATTTTGGTAGTTCTTATATTTTCAAATCGTGACCTCTAATTTCACCATCATCCGAGTTCACGATCATCCACGACATTAAATATTTCAAAAAGACATTCATTCGGTAATGTTATCATTTCGAAAGGAATAACGATCATTGTAAGGAAAAGTTGAACTTGTGTGTATGTACTACATCTTAATCAAGTGCCAATTATAATGACTAAAACCGTAGTAATTTATAATGTCATTTGTAATTACATATTTACATAATGGTGATGGTGATGAGACCGAAAATATTTTCAGAGATCTAATGCTGTTATAACCAAAATTGAATGGGATGGCACTAAAGTTCTTTTCTACATTGATGATTGTCTACTACAGTATGAAAGATGATTATCCAGGTGGTGATCCAAATGGTACAAAAAATGCATTGTATACGGTTGGTAATGGATCTGAATGGAGCCAATGGATACTAGCTTTTTGAGCTATATAGGCCTAATTGTCAACCTGATTGCACACCAATCATGAAGATAAATAATATAAAAGGATTTCTTTGGTAAATTGTGTGAAAATATTTAACTATGTAAGTACATTTGTTTGCTTTACAGTTTTATAATTTTTAATTTATTGATTTTTAAAAACATTAAAGTTGATTAAAATAATTTTAGAAATCCAACGCTAAATCATTAAATATTATTTAAGTTTCAAATGAATCTTAGTATTTTAATATGTGCTATTTTGATATTGATAGTAAAGCAATACGTAGACGTATATATATTTATTTATCCTTCATTTATCTTTCATTTAAAATATTGTAAACATTGTTAAATGAGATAGAAATATAAAGTGAATTATCTTGAGCTCGACTGAATTTCCATGTTAGCCCTAAATCAGAAAATACTTCAACTAAATGATCTCCAATATGTTTATCCATATTATCCAAAGTAGAATAATAAGAGCCCGTAAATTTAGGTAAACAAAATATATGTAAATCTTCTAAATAATTATGTCCCTTCTCAATGATATGAACATAATTACGTTTAATTTCTAATTGAATATCATTTTTAAGATAATTGCAACAACGAATGACCAATTCTTCAAAGGCCAAAATAATGTCACTAACTTTCTGTCTAACAGTTTCTAAAGCCAATGAACACAACACTGTCGATTTATTAAAAGGAATTTGAAAGTAATCAAGTTCTTCTTCAAGTTGTCTATGAGTAACTTGTCCGGATATAATGGGCAATGTTAACTTTCCAGTTCGATAAAATTCCATTATATAATAAAATGCTTCACTATTACGATCAAAAAAATATTCGTTTCCATTAATTGGATGTCTCATACATGTATTTCGATCTTGAAACATAACACCAAGAAAAGTTTCCGGTTGTGCTATGAGTGTTGATTGAAAGGTTTCATACTAGGGAATAAAAAATGCATACATACACGTTATATATACATAAACAAGTATTACATATTTAAGGCACTTAAAAATTATTACTATACTTTATTATTATGCTATATATACCTTTTTGCCTCCAACATTTAAAATAATCTTTTCTTCTGATGTGTTGATTGGGACTTGAGGAAATATAATGTGGGCTTGATCACACTCAAATTTTAGTAGTTTTTCAACCGGTGAAGAAAAAGTAATATCTATCTTAATTAATGAATAGCCATGTCTTTGATATTCCCATTTTAGCTCTAATTCAGAAAAAGTTTCAACTAAACGTTTTCCAATTTGACCTCCAATATTACTCAGAATATCAAAAGCACAATCTTTAAATTGCCCAAGACGACTATCTGATATTAGTCTGTTATTACGAACCAATAAAGAAATTTTATTTTCAAATCCTATATAATGATCAATGATTAATTTTTCAAGGTGTGAAATGAATCGATCAATTGTGCTTTTAACAGTTTCTGATGCCATTGAAGAAAATGTTTTCGATTTATTAATTTTAAAATAATCGAGTTCTTCTTTAAGCTGTTGATAAGTAACTTTGGATGCATCAGTTTCAACGGACCATAAAAGCTTTCCAGTTCGGTAGAATTCCATTATATAGTAAAATGCTTTGCCATTACGGTTAAAAAAATATTCATTTCCATTAACCGAATTTTTAATATATTCACTTTGATTTTGAAATATTGTTCCAAGTAATGTCTCTGGCTGAGCAGTGAGCGTTGATCGAAGAGTTTCATACTACATATTAAAAAGTAAACACATAAGTAAAGAGTAACTTGAAATTGGTTATTGCGATTTATACCTTTATGCCTCCAATATTTAATATAATCTTTTCTTCCAACATACGTATTAGGTGACTTGGCTTATGAGTTTGGATCTTTTCAAATGTATGTTCAATCAATACTTTTAATTCTTTTTATGCAACTAGATAAGAAAAAGTCATCTACGTATACGTATCAGGCTCAATGTACGTAAGATGTAGATATCGTGACTGAAGTTGATACCAACTGAAGCTGCAATTTATTTCACCGACTGAAATTAGCCCCTGAAATTAGGTCATCTTGCACTTGTAACTTCAGTCATGACATAATTTTTTTTAAAATGCTGGGTACGCAATTCAGGTTTTACACTGTTCATACGTATAAGATGTCATGTGATTATAATGTAACGATACGTATTGTTTCTGCGATGACCTAAGTTATAAAAAATTTTTTTGACGAAAAGTTCAGCATGCGTTCCGTGCGGCCAAAGATCATTAGATACTAAATAATCAATCTGCTAACTTTATTAATTTTATGCATTAAGTACGAGCGTACGTACGTAAAATTTAATTAGTAGTTAAGATTTCATAATAATACAGGAATGAGTAACAAAGATTTTTAATGAGAGGTAGATTGGATTATGTACAATCGTGTCTTGTTAAATTTGTCATTTTGTTACGCATTACAAATTTAATTTTTTATTCATTGGGTATTCATAATTAATATAAAAGAGAGGGTTGAATGATTGCTTTTCTCTAACAATAGATAATTCTATTAGTTTTCTTATAGAATAATTAAGTTATATCAACCCCATACAAGTCACAATTGACCTGCAACCTTATTCACAAACAGACACTTTAGAAAAGAAATTTGAACAAACCTTTTAAAAACTTTTACAATCCACTAGACATACATCTCGCAGAATAAAAACATTAGTTTATGCTCATTATTTAGGTGAATTATTACAAACCAGTGTCCCAGCTGAAAGAGCTTTATACTCCAAAAACATTTCCAAATATTATAAAAGAATTGCAGCAAAAACATATCAACTTTTTTCCGTATATGGCATAGAAACAATCTATCGAACTCAGTTACTTAGTTTACAACAATTTGATAAAATAACTACTGCTAATATTTCGTATGTAATGGGCAATTATTAATAAGTATAGAATATTTCAAATTGGTATTTGTTATGAAGAAGGAATTTATTCGCAGAGCTCATAATTAAGAGGGGGAAATGTTAAACGTAGAATTTTACTGGTCACATGATCAATACCAATATGTAATTCGTGATGTATCACAAACGCCAAGAATTCTACCCATTCGATCAATTCTATCCATTCTATCCATTCTATCCATTCTACTCATTCTACCAATTCTATCTATTCTACCTATTCTATTATTTATTTTATTTCTATTAGTCCTTTTATATGTATTGATTATATTAGATTACACATAATTTATCCCATAGAATAAATCTAGTATCGTTAATAGATGTAACAAACAAATTTAACTTGTATAAATATGTTCGATTTTTCCTCGAGAATCGACAGTGAACAACTCATCTTTATTAAATAAAATACAAATTCATGTCTTCATACACGAGTAATAACCCATTTGTGTCTTCATACACAGATAAATAACAACTGAATTAATCGTTAAGTGAACTAACGATCTCGAACACGTGACTATTGTAAAGAGATTTTCGATAGATAAATTAATACTTATTGTACAGTATACCCTAATACGACTACTTATATCTTCATATATATTTAGCCGTTTGCCTCTTTCATAAGTGCAAATCCCTTAAATCCTCTTAAAGCGTAATCGCACTAATACCTAAATTTACTTAAGCCTAAACGTTAGTAGTAATTAATTGTTAACATAAACATTGCTAAAGTAAATTCGTTATACTAAGCTCATAAGAGGTAGCTTTCAAGTGTAACATTACCAAGAACGGAGTGAAACGAAGTGTATGGCTTAGTGAAGGGTGAAATGGTGTACGGGTGCAAAATCTTACGTATTATAGGTCAGCGTGATCATGGTCGTCACATTGCTGCAAGTTTTCACATACAAGCATCACAGTGGATTCCAAATTGTGCGAATCATTTGTTAAACGGGTGTTGAAAGCAGGTTGTACCAACAGTGGAATCCTACGAAGAAAACTTAAACCCGATTGGTCTTATACACTGCCACAATTTTTTTTTTTACAACAATCGGTTTTGACGATCACTTAACGCCAATTGTTTTCTTGTACACACATCCAATTGTAACGAGAAGGCGTTCAGAGAATAAATTAATCTCATGAATCAATGAGCAACCAGAAAAAAGCCTTCAATCATAATAGATATATAAAGAGCCAAAGAAAAATTGCTTTAGGCAATTCTTCATTTCAACAAACCATAATACCACTTTTTTAAATTTCTAGAGTGGTCA